AAACCTTGGGTAGCTGCTTTCAGTCTCATCGTTCTCCAGTCGACCTGCCTGGCATGGTAGAACCTTCAGGAACATATGTTCGGTTGGGTCATCATGATAGGCAAGCCCAACCACCACGTCAAGGTAGCAGCTTTGGTCTGGATTATATCTTCAAACCCTCGTATTCTTCATTATCATTAATACCTCTACTATCTTTATCAGTATGAGATTTTATTTGACATTTGCGTCTCTGTGCTAATGTGTTATAGCAACATGAATTTATGTAAATACGTACGTAGTTCTACGTCGCAGCTGACTGACTGACTGTTTCACTCGATCATACTTCTCGAATCATAGCTTTCAATCTTAAACTTTTCCATTACCACTAATACTTCTACTACTCCGCCTAGTACTACTACGGGATTCGCATTGACAATCACATCTCTGTGCTAATGTTGTATGACATTTTTTGAACTGATGTACGTACGTTCAAAGTTCCAGGTTGTAACCGACTGACTGACTGACTGACTAACTGAGTTTGGCTGTCTCTATTGCCAAATAACCTGATATATAAATAGCATTCCATTTCTTTGCGGTAAGAGAATCAACAACCACAACTGAAACTTTTTAATTCTCTGTTGAAAAGTCATAATTTACACAATGTCACATTATTATTCTATCTGAGTTGAGGTTTTCATTGAAATAAAAACACGCACATCATTTATTACTGCTTTTTCGTTTTCTGATAGTTGATCTGATTTTCTAATGAAATTAGAATGTTTCACATTTTTCTGTGTACTTTAAATGAAAACAAAACAATAATGTTATTTTGAAGTTGGACTTGTCACAATGTTTGACCAATTAATTAAAGGGTGTACTATTCATTCATTCATTCCAAATGATGTCTGAAATATTACTAACTATACATAAGTAATGATATGATAGTTTGTATGTATGCATATACATATGTATGTGAGTGTGTATTTGTATGTATGTATGTATGTTAGATTTTGTGTGTCTAAAGTGAAATTCACCATCAAGTTCATGAAACCGAAACTGAACTGAGTATTTTAGACAAGTCAGTGTGATGAGATTTAGAGAATGCATATATATATGATGACCATATCAAAAAGTATGTAAACACAAGAATTCTACATTAAAGAATGTGTTAATTATTATTGTGGTTTAATTGACCGTTTATTATACCGACTGTAGCTACTAGTACCTTGACATGGTGGACGAGTTTGCCTATCTTTTGATGACTGTCAAACGAGCTATACTAGCTGGAACATATGTTCTTGTAGGTTTTACAATGCTAGGCAGGTTGATTGTAGAACGGTATGGCTGAAAGCAGCAACTTAAAGTCTGAGGGTGAAGTCGTACTGCTGACTAATGAGGTGTTTCCCTCGGACAACTAGCATCTACAGCAATGCTGGAAGAGGTTAGAAAAGGTCGACCCTAAAAAACGACACACCTCACCTTACCATCTCCGGTGGTAATGCCTTTTGAAGAGAGAAGCTAACACGTCAACTTACTACAAAAAAGCCGTGCTTGACCGGCCTCAAGCAGTTGTTCCTTGGACTGTGAGGTCACGCTCCCAGGTAGCTCAGACCAACGTTAATCAGATTTCCTTGTCT